TATATATATATTTATATATATACTAGCCAATATATATACATATATGCATATATATACATATATATTTATATATATACTAGCCAACATATATACATATATGTATATATATATATATTTTTTTTTTTCCTAAGACTGTCCGGGCTATCAGTATAGATAGCCTAGACCGTCCTAGCCTTTTGTTGCAGCACGATGACCTGTGTTCACTGTTATACGATAAATTGCAAACGTAAATTCCCTGACGTTGGCCAACCAAACGTTACATTATTGGCATACATAAAATTTATTTTGTTTTACAGCTACTGTACAAGACCGGGATGTATACAGGTTCTGTAAACTCTGATCTGAACGTTTCAGTGTGAGGAAGACAACGGCATAATGACCACAGTATCACATGCTAGCTAGCCTGGCTTTGATACTGAAATTTCCAGTTGGTTCCCTGACTAAGCGCTATCTCTGAAACGCGGCACCGAATTTCATGCGCGTCTGAGTCCCCACGCTTTTGTGAGAAAATTGCTAACTCGGAAACCGGAAAAGCTGGAATATTAAGAGTTTTTAAGCCTTCAGCTGTCTTGTTTCCGAGATCGTTAAATATGCCTGAAAGTCTGTGGCTTAAAGACTCAAGGCACACAATGGCCTGGAAGCTGTTTTTCATCTCGAGATTTTAACAGTTTGCTCACAAAAAATCATTTATTTAGCTTAAGTAATCCTGGTGTTAAAATATATGGTCAAACAGATAGGCCGATGGATGTACAAACACAGACACACACGCGACTTGCTTTATTATCCTTTGCGTTACACTAGTGATGCAGAAGTGCAAGAAAAAAGCCTCTGCCCAAAGCACAGAATACTTTGCTCAAGGCTCGTCGCAGGTAAACTCAACAACCATACAATTGCGGGAAAGGAGCATTGCTGCTTAAGGATGGATAAGCCCAAAGAAATGCAATTGAAAGCTGCCACAGCACCGTGTCACGATTGTACCAGGCTTTTCAACATTTTTTAGACGGTGTTTGATTTCCCACTGCAGCAGGCGTTCGCGGAACACTGGGAGAATTTTATTGACATTATAAATTACAATAAGAATATATCAAGCGTGAAGATTGTTGCTGATCTAGCACCGAACATGGATATTGTTTATGTTAGTATTTTCATGTGTTCGCTTCATTTGCGTTTATTATAGTAATTCTTGCCAAATGAGGTTACCGACATTCAACTCTTCTATTGACTTCAAAAAAAGGCAGAATTCGAAAAACTGCTCGGAAACTGCCACAATTTCAGCTTCAGTCGAAAAAGATAGTTTTTTCAGTCCAAGCATGGTAGCACATTCGCTGCTGCGAATTGGCTCTTCAGGCCCCCAGTAGCCTGATGAAAAGCTGTTTGTTGAAAATTTTTTTTACAGCCTTAAAAATAATGTCTAAGCATCACTTCGTCTCAAACAAAGTTTATTACGAAGAACTCATAAAAGTCATGGGTATTTAGAAGAGTATTTGTAAAGAAACTGTTGAGGATGAAGATACTTCTTACAAAATGAATATGATTATAAAATCCAAAGTTTTTCAAAACTACGCTTAAGGTTACTTCGAAACTAATTATACTGGCTTTCGAAAACTGACAGATCACATTATGGGTAGTGATTTGAGTAGGTCAGTTAGCTGCACAGACATCACAATACGTGCATAATTTTTTTTATTTGGCCCAAACATTTTTTCTGTTAATGCTTCAGTATGCCATGAAGGATATGGCGACAATCAAAGGGCGAGAATTCCTGACCTGTCGCACATTTCGCCGCGTTGGTGACGAAATTATCGAAGCTGCGCGAAGCTTCAATCTGTCGGATGTCAAACAAAGTTCTATGAAAATACGGTCGGTTCTTCATAAAAGCACCGCGAAATAAAAAAAAAAATTAACTGATTGAGGAAGTGCGGTTTGAGGGAGGAGGGAGGGGGCAGGAGAGGATAGGTTAGAGTTGGCTCAGGAAGAAATTTATCCGATGGTGAACAGATCAGGAAACAAGGATGAGAGAGACAAAAGAAAGTGCAGAAGCCCAGGAGGAAGTGAAAGATGGGCATTAGAACCATTTTCACTGACAGGTGCCATTTTCCTCGATGAAAAATTGTTTATGGTGCAGTATTTGTGGGCCTCTAGAATCTGTTTGCTCCTTTTTGTGTTAGCATCAAAGTACTGGTAGACAAACTCATTTACATCTTCCTTTTTCAAACAATTTTCGACGTAATATATATGTAGTAATTGTGCTGTATTGTCTATTAATATTGCGATTCTAAACAATTCATTAATTATCAAAAATTTTCTGCTGGTAGTTTGAAAAATTTAATCGATGATGTGAAAATAATGCTCAACACATAGTAAATAGTTAATATCGATCTGAATCTGTAAAATTATATGTAGCTAATACTGGAATTGTAGCTTTTGTGAAACCAGCTAAACTTGATTCAATTCGTAAGGGTTGTATTAATTGGTTGTAAATAATATTATTATGTATTATAGGGTGAATGTTGCTATCAAGGTTGGAACATCAATTTACAGGAAAATTGAAGTTATTTATTTTGCTATAAAGTGTTCTATGAATTTTTCCATTAGAAATAGTAAATGTAGTGTCTAGGAAATCAACTGATTTTCCGTGTCCAGTAATCGCAGTTTCTAAGTTGTCACCATATATCAAAGTAAGATCACATAAATTATCAGTATTAAAAATAAGAATATCATCACCATATCGGCACATTAAGACTTGAGGATCGGTTACAATTCGTGAATATTAAATCCTAAAATCGCTAGAGTAAGGCCAGCGATATTTAAATTTGTGTTTCGACCATAGGTACTTTACAACCTTGCTGAAAAATGTCACCTAAGCATCGCACATAGGATTCACAAAAGGCTGTATGTGTCATCTAATAAATTTCGGATAAAGAATACATTTTATTCTTAGATGATGTTTTGAAAAGATCCATATAAAAAATATGTTTATATCTCGCTGCGAGGCACATCCTGTGTGCGTTTTTAAAACATAATTCACACAAATATTTTAAACTTTCATATGCTCTGTTATGCTCTAAATAGTAAACAAAGTTGAAAAATCAAAGGTAAGAAGTTGTTTAACACATAGAATGCTAGTAACGAAATCAATTGCCATACATGAATTAGGGATACTAAAAAGCTATAAAATGCGATGCAAATTCGTTTTTTTCTGCAATAAATGCTGCATATTTCTGTAACTAAACTTTGAAAAACTGTAAATTGTGATGTAACTGAAATAAAATAGTCCATAAAAATTTTGGAGCATTTCCCCACACCTGGGGTGGGAACGTGCTCCAAAATTTTCAGCTTTCCAGCTTTTTTGGATAGTAAGTTAAAAGTGGGTAATAAAATAAAAACACACGTGCAACGCATACAGAAAACCACTTTTCGCATGCGAATAAAATGCAATATGCATAAAAATAAACTCTCACGTGCAGTCACGTCCTGTGAGCGGGCATGCCCTGTCTCTGTTTATAAAATCGTCTCCATCTTCCTCTCGCAGAAATCAGACATGCCAGAAAGCTGAAATTTCAGAGGCCTCACACTGCAGCACCACCGATTCAGCCAGTGTCTTCCACTGAAAATGGAAAACCAACAAGGAAATATCCAGCATGAGTGCACTTACTAAAAAAAAAAAACTGTGAAGCAGTGAATGTTCTTACTGTTAATTGATCTTATTGCCACAAGAAATGCTCACAAAGCGCAACATTTTTGCACGTCACGAATTATTTGGTGGTTCAAATGTAATTGGTGTGTGTGCGCTAGCGTAAAAACATGATTTTTCTTTTTTTTTGCTTTATGGTGATGAGTGTTAACATATCCCGCGCTCCAGAAGCGTTAAAGCTTCACTTTCGTGGCTTGCTCCGCTGCGGAGCTATAATTTCAGTTTGTGCTTTGAGATGTCATATGTTTGAGCGTAGTAGAGTTATGAAGGTTTTCTCCTAATAAACCCGACAAAGATACACAGACAGACGAAAGATAAACGATTTTATAGTGTTTTATTTCGGATTCTCTTGATAGCTGCTGTCGTATAAATAAACTGTGGCTAATTTTCTACGTGTTTTCAGAGGGCACGTGATACTCGCGGGCGGACGCTTTCGAATTCATCCAAAGGATTCTACGAAAACGATTGTTGATTATGTGATGTGTGTAGATTTTAAAGGTCCTGATATCCCAAAAGTGATCATGGATGCTACGATGAGCATGCTTATCATGCAAGATGCAGAATATACAAGGAAACAAATTGAAAAGCTTAAGCAAGAAGCCACCTGAGCCTATTGAAGAGCCTATTGAACACTATAATCTGCTCCATACGTCATATGTGTCACTAATTCACAAAATCTTTGTTTGAGCACCTCGACTGCCTGCCTAATTGATCGCTTATCTTGTGTATCTGATAAGACACCAGTCGTCACTTCGCGCAGAATGCATCACGCAACGAACATGCAACTGCAGTCTGGGTATTTGGCGCTCGAAAGCGAGGTGCAGGTTAGAGTCTACTTCCATCTGGCAGTGTTATATCGATTGTCAGCAAAATCCGCCCGAAACTTTGTTTGATTGCACAATGCCTGTATTTGTCCATTCTTCATCCTATGCATCCATTTTGTTATGTGTATTCTGTAAAAAAAACCTGGCGTGGCTACTCCCTTGTACCTCATTAAGCATTCACTCGTGTTTAAAGTTCTTTAAGACTGTGTGGATCAGCTGCATATCTTTTCAGCAGCTTTTTCTGGGAGAGGGAAGATGAACCAGCAGTGCTGCCGAAAATTCGTTTTGCCTAGCTGTCTCAAAGTTGCTGGCATTTATCACCTAAAAAATTTTATTTAATGCACCATCGAGCTTCGTAGCAATAGACAAGTAGATGTACTATTTTTCAAAGAAGTAAATTCGATTCATTCTAAAACATAATATATGTAATAATCAGATAGGTATCTAGCCGAGGTATGCAGCTCAGGACTGAAAGGCCTAGCATAGCTGCACTTAGCTTGCAAGATCATCCTCAATATCATCACTACCTGAAACACCCACACTAACTGCTCGGCAAGCTTGGTATCTGTAGCTGCACCACAGATTTCAATTACTGCGGTGAACATGTTACGTATATATATATATATATATATATATATATGTATATATATATATATATGTATATATACATATATATATGCGCGAAATAGCGCACCATTTTTGGCGTCTCACTTTTAATTTTATTTAGAAAGCATTTCTTTAGTATTCTAGTGCTTCGCATTCTTGAGCCCATTTTTCGCTTTCTGATGTAATTAGATATCTGTCAGTTCTCATTTCTTAGAGCAATTAGCATTTGTCTTTTGATTCCAGCGTTGTTTTGGGGCGAAAATTTGCGCGCCACAGATCTACCTTCCGCGCTTTTATGCGTTTTTGCAAAAGAGTTTTGACGAGTTTGTTTTAAAATGTTTTGTGTATGCGTGTACGTATATGTATGTCTAGACAGTTTAATTCGGAAAAAAGCCTGTGATTTCTGGAACACATATCTTACAATAATAAGTGGATCCTCACAGCCGTCATGAGCACTAAGGAAGCTATGCACTCACCTTCAGTCGCAGCTGTAATTCAAGCTGATGTTAAAAATGAAGACTGAAAAAGAGTAAGGGCTCAAAGTCTGGCAAGCCTAATGTGCATATGATACAAAGGCATGGGCATGATTTCACCATTAAATTTTTACTCTCTTCAGGCCTGTGACGTCAAAATTAAATTCATGCTTCTTTTACGGACTCTAAATGCAACGGAGTGACGACATATAAACATTTTTCGATCCCACTTATGTTACTGTTTGAGGTGTATTGGAAGTGCTGGCTGTAATAGTGAAGATGCAAGATGGTGAGAGATATCCTGTTTGCGCGGCTGATGATGGAGGCACTAGCGGCTCCAACAACGGTACCACGATAAAGAGAATATAAGCTTTTCCGCACGCCATTATATCTTCTCATTCTGTCTCCCTGCATCTTGACAGCCACGGACGGAAGTACGGAAGATGCAAGAACACCCCAAAGTATCGTGGATCTCAAGACAATATTCTTAAAATCAAGTTCATTCGCAGATCGGCTTTTCAGCAATGCTGTCTTTCATGTGCAAATCGACCTGCATCAACAAAAATTTTAATGGATCCAAAAATCTTTAAACAAGCGAGTGCAGCAGCTGCAGTGGCTCAAAAATGGAAATACGGTTTGGCTTGAGGAAGCAACGCAAGAGGTGATAACACATCGTAAGCACTTTTTCGGCGAGGAAAAAACTTGCTGCCCAGTACAGTTGCAAAGTTACAAAAGTAAAATTTTACTTGCATTTGATGCAAAACCTAGGCCTGACTCAAATTTAAATTTAAAACTTTTAGATTGAACGTGAAAATAGAATGTCTTCGTAAAAGTTTAGCTACTTGGCAGTCTAGTTCATAGGAGTAAGCACATTGGTGATAGCTGAGTTTGAAATCTTTCGACTACACATGATCAAAAGTATGCTTGCAGAGTTTCAGCTTCCTGCATTGACTGACTCTCAAAATCGCTTTCCCACCACATTGGCTTTCTTTTCAGCTTCCGTGTGTAGGATCCTAAGCGTACGAAAGCAATGATTTCAAGCTGTGAGAATCGCGCATACTTCGCAAATTCCTTGACATGTGTACTGCATCCAGATGTAATCGCAATCTGTGCAATTAGAACTGGTTCTTTGATCAGAGTTGTGCTGTCATTTTTGAAAACGCTACATTATAGTTACCAGACAGTTTTGCACTAATTTTTTTAGAGTAAAACCGATGTGCTCGTTGCATTAATCGAATTGAAGAAATCAATTTTTTTTTTTTTT